GCAGTGAGTGTGTACAGTGTGTATAGTGTGTAGCAGTGAGTGTGTACAGTGTGTATAGTGTGTAGCAGTGAGTGTGTGCAGTGTGTAGCAGTGTGAAGTTGTGAGTGTGTACAGTGTGTTGCAGTGAGTGTGTACAGTGTGTACAGTGTGTAGCAGTGAGTGTGTACAGTGTGTATAGTGTGTAGCAGTGAGTGTGTGCAGTGTGTAGCAGTGTGAAGTTGTGAGTGTGTACAGTGTGTTGCAGTGAGTGTGTACAGTGTGTGCAGTGTGTAGCAGTGAGTGTGTACAGTGTGTAGCAGTGTGTAGCAGTGTGTAGGTGTGAGTGTGTGCAGTGTGTAGCAGTGTGTAGTTGTGAGTGTGTGCAGTGTGTAGCAGTGTGTAGTTGTGAGTGTGTGCAGTGTGTAGCAGTGTGTAGTTGTGAGTGTGTACCTTGTGCTGCAGGTCGAGGTCAGGCGGTTTGACTCTCTGTGACGGGGTGTGTTTGATTCGCTCGGAGCGTCTGACCCTCTGTGGGTGGAGCTTATCCTTCAGCCTCATGGTCAGAGACACAAACTGGGAGGCTGGAGAGGAAGATCATCATCATCATCATCATCATCAATGAAAGCGTCTCAGTTAAAGTTCAGACTGACAAGAAGTGGATGTTGTTAGCCTGCAGTGGCTAACAGTTAGCATATGAGACAGAGCAGCTCACCTGTCTTACTGTCCCCTCTGGACGAGGACATGTCTGCAGGTGGACGGACAGATGGACAGACGGCAGTGTCAGATCAGCGCAGCGACGGTTCACTCCTCAGCTCTCATGTTGTTCACTCTGTCCGTCCGTCTCTGTCTTTCTGTCTCTGTCTGTGTGTCTCCTTCCTCCTTCTCTTCTTCCTCTTTTTGTGTCAGTTGAACTGAACTCAGTCAGGAGGAGGAGGAGGAGGAGGAGGCTCTCAGGTCAGAATGAACCTCCAGCTCCACCTGGAGGCAGGATGCAGATGGTGCAGCTCTGCACTGTAAAAACTCAGCAGCAGTTTGAGTCAAAGTCTTCATCAGCAGAGTTCATCACATCGGCTCAAAAGACTTTAAAAAATATTATTTAAATGTCCAAAAGAGCTGATCAAATGTCAAGAAGATAAAATTAAAGTGTCTAAAAAAATGTTGATAAAATGTCCAAAAATTTAAAGTTTAGTGGTCACTATATACTGCGGTGTGTGTGTGTGTGTGTGTGTTTGTCAGCTGCTAGGTGTCTCACCTGACAGCTGTAGCTCCGCCTCTATTTACGTGACCATGGTCAGAGCTGGAGGACACATCACAAGGCTTCACAAAGTTTTCCTCACATTTCTTTTAGCGCTTTAGATTTGCCTCCATGGCGAGCTGCTATTTGTCTGTTTGATTGGCTCATTTCATGCTGCATTTCTATTGGTTGGTCAGTAGACGAAGGTGGTGACAGCATCACACTGTCAGAATTTGATCCCAGGCTGTCTTTGATCACAAACTGGATTTTCTGTTAGTACCAGGTCGCATGATGATGACTGTAGCGTTCTAGTGCAGCTGCTGACTGCTACTAAGCACCGTCACAGTGCGCCAAGACAGGACCAAACCATATCCTGCAGATACAGCGGGGTGGTCCGTCAATATGGATGTTCACTTTTTGGTCAATGGGGATATTAAACTGTTTCTGCCAAACACAAGTAAAAACAGAGAGATCATTAATTTTATTACTATATTTGAAAAAAAAAATCTTAATGATGATTGTTTAATATTTTATATTAATTTGTACTTATTGAATCGTCCTAACTTTTCTCCCCTATATGGCGCCACTGCTTAGGACCACCATTTTAGAGCCGCCACTATCTGTGGTGTGGGACAGCCCATAATGACACGGTGCACACACAGCAGCTTCATGGTGGTTAATCTGAAACAAAAGACTCGTCAGCCGTCGTCTTCATTCACACAAACTTTATTCATGTCAACACGTCTCTGTTGCCCCTGATCACATGACACTAAGATACACAACACAACTACACACTCACCCTCTCACACACACACACACACAGTCGCACACTACAGTCTGGGCCGCTGCATATTTCAGTTGAATAGATACAGATACATTAATATGGTACATTATTCTCTTCATATATGATGTAAACATTAAAGTTTTATTACCTCACACAGTGAAACTACCTACGATCACAGGTGTGTGTGTGGAGCTGCGTTCAACACGCCACCGCAGAGCAACACGTGCAACACGTCACTGGTTATTAAAGAAATCACACGACACACTTTGATAACTACAGAGTCCATGCTGACACTAAGGCGAACACACTCCACTGCTACAGAGACGCTGCGATATGTGTGGCTTTGAACGCAGCTCAGAACAGAATCACCACGACAGGAAATCACGTTACACAAACACAGGCAGGATAAATAGATCAGCAGGTGTCCTTCAGTCAGCTGCAGACGTGTGTCACACCGAGGACGGGCCGTCTGCGTCTCCTCCAGTCACTCCTCAACACTCCCA